ACTGACAAGACGATAAATGAGGTGGATATTACTGATCACACCCTTGGAATCTCTGTTGTGCTCATTTTCATCAACCATTGCTGCTGCTGCTAACGACTCGTCAGTAGTATTTACTCTCCTCCCCATATACGATTTAATTAGGGTAGATAGAGGCCTTCCTCCTCTTCTCCCTCTCTCCTGCCTCGAGCCGTTCACTCCCACACTTGATTAAAACAAACTAGCACACCTCGACGAGGACCTACAACGCAAAAGGATTCGATTCTTGAGTGCACCTCCGAAGTTTTGTTCTAGCAGCTGTATTAACGATCTCAGTTTGGTCGTAGTTTCCCACTCGCTGGCATGAAAAGCACTCCTACCATGTACAGTTTTGTGAGAGGCGACAATGACGAAGTCCATCTGGGTTATCCGGACCTCACCAATATCCAGGCCTCCATCATCGACTTACAAGGAAGTCTAACGGACACATTGTGTTAGTTACGCAGAGCGGGAGAAGCGGGAGCTCTCTTGAATGTACTATTAAGCCACACACAGAGTAGTACTATGGTGTGGTATACAGAACAGCGTTGCTGAATCGCATCTTGCAGTTGGCGAGATAAACTAGGCTTTCCTGTAGGCCCTATTTTATACTAGAACGCAGAAATTAGTGGACGAGGAAAGCGAACAGCAGTGATACTGGTATAGGACGTTTGACGTTAGTTGTGGAGGCTCGGGCTAATCGACGATCGGGACGCCTACGAGATGCAGATATTTTCCGTTATAATTTCGTGGCGCGTGACTACCTTCGTTCTTCATCCGCTTCTCCAGCTTGTCCACAGCAGCATACGCCGCCTCGCGCTGCATATCCTCAGTGCGGCTATTCTCGCCTATCTTGTACATCCACACACGAACCTCGGGAAGCCATGCCTTCACTGGAGTCTTGAGGAGGAGAGAGAGATAGACCTCGTCAACGACTGCCTTCACACTGCAAACCCTGACGCATTTCAACCAGGGTCGTAACAACGTGAAGTCCGTGTTGAGAACAGCGGTTTTGGAGTCATCGTTAGCCGCCTTGATTTCGGCCGCCCACTCCTCCCAGAACACTCGGGCGCAGTGCATCACCACAGAAGGAGTACCTGAACATGTTCGGAGGCTCAAAGCCGTTGAAACAGATGACCCGAGTTAAGCTGCTAATATGGGTATTCGCTCTCAAATGATGACAACTAGTCTAATCCTGTGGCGAAATTTGCAGATCAGTTTTCCCCGAATTTTCACAAGACATACAATAACGCTGAGGAGTTCGCCAGTCCCAATGCCTTGAGCATACCGTTTACTACATTTCTTCTTATCGAGGAGATCCTCATCCAGCAGTCTTCGAAGAGATTCGATGCTCTGCACCTTGATGGAGTGGTTCATGAGCTCAGCCAATGCAATACGTAGGAGGAGTTGGTACTTGTTGATACGATGCTTGTCCAACTGGGAGGATCATCACGCGCCACAAAATTACCTATTACTACCTTCTCCCACTGCTCGTTGACTGTAAACCAGAAGGCCTTCCACCACAGCACGTAGGCGGCCTCGTCTGTGAAGACTCTAGATAGCTGCACCATTTGAGCAGCAGTCTGGATAGAACAGTGAGCCTTCCATACCACTCCTCGACCACATTACGTTTTGCTGTACCCCCCGACCATCAGCCATCCATAGGACGAACCAAAGGCCACGCCAGAGCTTCCGAGCATCGTTCTCGTCCAGGACCTTCCAATGCGAACCTGTGAGAGTTTACTAGGCCGAGAGCTCACTGGATCACACCCTTACCGAGCCACTTAGCGAGCATCTTGAAACCCTTCACTCTGACAGTAGCGTCCGTATGAGAGAGCTTCTTTCCGAAGTCTAGTGGCTGTTGGAGATCCAGCTTTTCCTTAGGCGGACGGACCGGTGAGGTCTTGGCTCGCTTTACGGACTCACTGAAATAGAACTGTATACGTGGATAGATTAGAGACCAACTACCTAGTAGCAGGCGCTTCCATGGAAAGCTGGGGGCGCTTCCTCGGGGAGACCATAGGCTTCTTATCCTCCTCCTGCTGTTGAAGTTGGTACTGCCCACTTGCTTTGACAGGTGACCGAGTCCTGAACGACAGTGAGGGTTAGTCGGCCACACGGTAGAATAGAAAGGCATTTATATATACATTCCACTGTGGCTCCGCGGCACGAATATTTTTCTCCGCAGAGTACTACCATACTGCTGAGTACACCACTACTAGTGTTTCAATGAACGAGTCAAAGGAGCAATATCACCACGAGGAATTGTCGCCTTCTCCTCACGAACACCCCCACCGTTACCTTGTTTCATCTTCATCAACTACTCCACATCCTTCCTCTGCCTGGCAATGGGCTTCTCCACAATGACATTGGGAGTGCTCATGCATGATCGCCTCGATGATCTGGGCCTGAGGTCCGACATCGTTTATGGACCGTGGTAGATGAGGAGCTCTTACCTTCCTTCTCCGTACGAGCTTATTGATCCTCTCACTGGCGGAGGACATTGTAAGTGTGATGGGAAACAACCAACGTCTACAGTGGTGAGCAGAAGCCAGCGAGGTCGCCTTAGATCGACAGATGAGGGGATTATAGGGCCAAGGCGGTCTTGTTGCTGCGTTACTGGTACTACTAAAGTTTTTCGGTCTTTGGTGAAATAGCTCTGATTTTGCTTGGTACGTTATTGGTGGTTTACTATCCCAAAGACTCGATGAGAGTTTTAGTGACAAGGTATGTATGGATTGGAGAAGTGTCATGTGCGGGGATCGAACCTGCGACAGATTTGGTATATATCGCTCGCCCGAATATCTTGGCGAGCGAGATATCACATCAACGCAAGATGGCTTCTGCGATCTTCTTTGGTCGCTGCATACCCTTGAGTAGGCTCTACTGGTCCCCTCTGGTCAATCTGCTGGCTTTGAGGCGACGGCTTCGCTCATGTAAGACCCTTGGGAAGCTCTTCCTTCCCTTCTCAGGTTGATTGGCCATCCCGGCACTGGTCTGTTCGTTTGGCGACCGTTGCTGTCGAGACGGCGACCGTGCGACCTGGTACTCCTCTCATTCTCCCGAGAGGTTTCTACTGCACTACCGAGCTCAATCCCACCCTTCTGACGTTCATGTTGGGGTTGTGTGTCAGTAGTGTTCCCTTCTGCTCGAGGGTAACTGAGAGATGATAGTCGGCTCCTCGTTGGTCGCAGCAGGTCACCATTGTCTCTATTCTCGATGACATGCCCAGTCGGTCCACGATGCTTCGAGCCTTCCTAGCTGTGTCTGCGGTGTCCTTTGCCTTGGTTCTGATCTACAAAGGGCAGCTTTCCTCGGTCGACTTGGTACCGAAGTCTCCTCTGAAGCTGGTCCCCCTTCCCTCTGGTCACACCTGTAGTCACCCCGAGCTCCCATCTCGGCAAGGGATGCACTACTGTAACGACCCCCGTAGGGGTGTCTCGGGTACTCTCTGTCCTATCAACAACTGCGAAGCTGACTGTAAGGCAGATCCTTTCTGTCGGGAGGAGCGGTCGCGCTATCGCCTTCTCGATGCTACTTCGACCTCTGCTGGTTTGGTTCATGTCAGAGTCGCTGGTCCCTTGCGACTAAGCTTGGTTACGGGTAAGCTCAGCTGTAGTGATGAACTTTTCGGCGTTCTGAGGGGTCCTGCTATTCTGCCCCTCGACTTCACCATATCGAGCCCCGTTGTTGTTGGTACAGACTGTCACTATACAGCAGCCGCGCAGCTATTGGTCGGTGGGAAGTACTTTCTCTCGGTGTCGGTTGAGCGTTTAGCTGACTCTGCTTCTCTAGAGCCGGACGTTTCCCTACCGAACCGGTCTCGGGTGTGTTGGAAGGTGGCGAGGAATCCTACGAGGGTGGCCTCGCTGGATATGTTCTGGCCGTTGAACGCAACTGCTGTGTATTTGGGTGCTGAGGTACTCCCACGGCTTAGTCGTTTGGATGTTGTGGAGTTGCCCACCTCCATCGACTGCGGTAGACTTGTCGGAGCTCAGTCACAGTGGGTACACTACTCTGTGATGGAGAGGGCGGTCAAAGAATGCAAATTGGTGATTGGAGACTATGACTATTCTGATAATTACATTTGGTTCAATCCTAGGGCGAAGCCGTTCCTCGATGGTAAACCGGTACACAAGTGGTTGAAGCAGGTCATGCGAAAAAAGAAGATTCTTTTTGTTGGGGACTCTACAGTGGAGGACATCTGGCGCTTCTGGACGCAGGCAGGTCCTTGGGATGAACTGTTGAAATTTGCTAAGGTTCGGGTGGAATACGAAAGCGTTTGGGGTACATACGAGTTCATGTACTCTTCGGAGGAGAATCCGTTCATGTGCGATGTCCGTACCATGGGCGCTGGCGGCTGGCGCAGTGTTGATGCTGTTGCTAAGCGGGTTGCGAAGGTCAAGCCTACTGTAGTCGTTATAGGGGAGAACCTTCACACTTTAAAGAAG